CTGTGCAGACTATAGCTAATTAATCATCACTATACACTGAGAGTTGGGGAAGTAAGCATCGTTATCCCCATATTATAGATATAGAGGAATAAAAGGGACTTGTCCAAGGTTACACAGCAATTCTGTCACAGAACTAGGATTAAAATACAAGAATTCCTGGCTCCACTAGAGCATGGAATCACTAGTCTGATTTAAAAGTGCTGTAGACCCTGGAATAGAGCTCTTCCTGCTTTTAGAGTGTTGCCTGGTTGGAGCTTTTAACTGAGCTTTGTCAACCCACCACATATTCTTGACAAGATGTTCTATAAAAATAATTAATATCACTATGCAAACATAGATCATGTCCAAATGCTCAAATGTAAATTGACTGGTAAAACTAAGCAGTTGTTGCTCTCTAGCATCACAAATCCATGTTTCTCTTTCCATTCTTGTCTAGATAAGTGCCATGATGCATGCTAGGGGTGAACAGTCTCAGGGTGATCATCCATCTTTTAATGATCATATCATCTCGGTGACTATGCAGGTGCTCTATGAATGTTACAAATCTGTAACGCTATCCTCCCACGAGGACCCTGTATTGCTTATCCATGCCATTGTTATAATACACCTTGGCTGAACTGTTATAACATTCTCCCTTTGGAGAATTTCCAGGCAGGGGCTATATTTACGTCAGTTACAACAGATTCAAAATGCCTCTGCCAGGATTTTTAAAACAGACTAACATCTTCTTCTGTTTCACTCATATTGAGGTCATTACACTGCCTTCCTGTAAACGTATTAGGTTGATTGTCAGTTTTGTTGTTTCAGACATTTAGGCATCAAAATCAATGGGAGTTAGGCAGCTAAATAGCTTTGAAGATCTGGGCCTTACCTTTTTCATTTCAGCTACTATTGCTGCAATCTACAATTTGCTGTTGATGGGTCACTGCTTGTCCCTGGATTCCCAGACTAGACTGTAGACTTTGGGTAAAAATTTCAAAAGTGCTTAAGTGACTTAGGAGTCTAAGTCCCATTTTCAAAAGTGACTTAGGCACTTGGGAGCCTAAGGCTCACTTGTGGTGTTCAGTGATCACTCAGTGTGTAAGGTACTTGTAAGCGATCTAATTTATTCTGTGTCTGGTTCTAACTGGCTGTGCATAACAAGAGCTTCACAGTGCCTTGCTCAGACTCTGTGTCTGGGAAGCTCAGCTCTGAAAGGCACAGACCCCAATACAGCAGCACCAAGAGTCAATAAGACATATGTGCCTGAGTCATTTTGAAAATGGGATGTAAGCTCCTAAAATCACTTGCCCGCTTTGGAAAATGTTACTGTAAAGCTTTAAACTGCAGTGTGCATTCTATTTGAAATTCCTATTCAGTGGACATTAAGCTTGTCATTTTACGGGTATTTTCACATCTAAATTCTAGCCTTATCTTTTAAAACTTGCCTTTGATTAGCACAGCTGTTATTTATTCTTTTTACTTAGCTGGGATTTCTGCAAGGGCTCTGCAGAGTAAGCCTGTTCTTATTTTATGGTGCTGTTAATCTTTTTTTCTTAAGAAGTACATGAACAATGTCCTAAGGGGAAGAATATTACATCTATATGAATAGATAACATAGATCAGAACAAAATAACTGGGGGAAGGAATATTTTCATAATCTTCCGTGAGCCTTATGAAGAATTCTAGATAACATGTATGGAGATACCTTTCATAAGACATATCTCAGGGGACCAACAGAAATTGGTTGCTTAATAGCAGTAGTCTTTAAAATAAAGATGGAGCAGAACTATATTTAGTATAGTTGGGAATCATTTTGGGGGGTGGCATATGTCTGAAAACAGGAGGTTGTCTCATATCTATGTTCTCTTGCATAGGTTTCACTCTGTAGAGTTTTCCAAAATAATTGACAAGTTTTTACATGGTTCTAAAATAAAAGCAGAGGCTTTGTAATACAGGATAATTAAAATGTTTGAATAAAATATTGCATCACCTTATTCTTAATGTTGCTATGACAATTTACAAAATCTAAGGATCTGGCCACTATGTTCAAACAACGTATCACTAGACACCAGAGAATTTCTATAAGTCTATGCTTCTCTCATGATGGTGCTACTTTTCTTCCTCATCAAGGCAGCAAGGCTAAACCACGCAAAATGTTGCTGAACCATAAATCACTTTGAAAACCTGAACTGCCTCCACTTAGCCCCAGAGCACAGCAACTCCTGTTACAAGGAAGTCCTACCTTAAATGACCTTTTGGGATGTAAGGAGTGTTATACATTAACACGGGAGGCAATTGTTCTGTTTACTTGGCACTGGTGAGGCATGACTGGAGTAATGTGTTCAGTTTTGGGCACCACACTTTAAGATGTGAACAAACTGGAGCTAAATTGACAAGAGGTTTGGAAACCATGACCTACGAGGAAAGGTTGTAAGAACTGGGGATGTGTAGTCTTGAGAAAAGAAGGGTGAGGGGGGACTTGATAACAGACTTCAAACATGTCGAAGGTTATTATAAAAAGGATAGTGATTATAAGTAGTAATAGTAAGTTTTAAGCAAGGGAGACTTAGTTAGCTATTAGGAAAATAATTCTAACTATAAGAATAGTTAAGCAACTATAGGGGTAGTTGGAGGTTTTTAGAACAGGTTTGACAAAAACCTCTGAGGGATGATCTAAGTATATTTAATTCTGCTTCAGCTAGGGGGATGGACTAGATGAAGATCAACATCTGTGATGGCTTCATAGACCATTGAAAGAAAGCCTAGAACATAACCAGAGGAAAAAAATCTCCTTTCTTTCTAAGAATTCATCACATTCACACATGTAATAGTCATGGAAGCACAGAGGGCAATCAGAACCCCCACTAGTGACTGACCCCGGCACATGTTTCTGGCAGAGCACCCTTGGAACCTCTAATAACAATTTTTCAACATCTCCTTTGATGCGGGGAATCTACTACTCATCTTAAAACATGCAATAGTCTGACGGGTACTAAGGAAACTACTGCTCAGAGACATCACAAAGTTCTATGCAGTGTCTAATCTCTCTCCCTTTTCTAAGCAATTTAATCAAGAAACTAGCTAGCAAAAGAAACTAGAAACTAGCTAGCTACCAATGTGGCCAGCTGCATGGATCTTTTGCTGTCAATGTCAGGCCTGGGCACAGTACAGAGAGTATCTGCTGCTGTGACTTCCTGATCTGTGACTTCAGTTATCTTCCAGATAACTGAAATACATTAATATTCATCCTGTTGGAGTTCTCTGCAGTATTGGGTACCACTGATGGCACTGGCCTCCAGTGGATTCCCAGTAACCTACCAGATTTGGAGCCAGGTCCTGTGGCTATTTGATGGGGCAAGACCTTTTCCACAGACAGAATAATAGGAGAAGAACTCCTCGAGGAGCTCCCTGTATAAAGTATCTACCATGAATATTTATGTGGGAGGTGATGATCCAGGTTCAGGGGATTTTGGAGACGGGATGGTTGTGTTGACCATTTTAGCATGTGCACATATACCTGTGGTCATTACAGCTGTTAAAAGAAACGTCTCCCAGGCTTCAAAGCTGTGTTCTTAGAGAAATAGTACCAGAGTTGTGCAAGTTAACCAATCGGTGTGACAGAAATCAAAAGGAATGTTGAAATAAAAGATGGGGGGGAGAGGAGGGGAGCATAACAATGGAGAAGAATGGGTATATTTTTATATTTGTTGACTTAATTTTATAAATACATTTTTCAATTCCCTTTCTTTTAAAAGGCATATATGTCATCTGAGTTACATTTCACCAGAACGATGAGATTTACAGTGACAAGGACATATGATAGTTTATAGGTCCTTTTAAAATTTCACATTGTACTAATGATAAACTTTTTTTAACTGATCTTCAACATATTTTTCTGGATTTCACCTAGTTGTTATCAGCTTTAAATTCCTTTGGGTAAAAAAAAATTCTCTTTAGAGAATTGTCTGCAATATTTGAAAATCCTGGCTTCCAAGTACTCAGAACTGAACTACATTTTAGATAAGTTCAGATTCAATGAACATTTGGAAATTGTAGATCTGGATAATGCATCTGTGAACTGAAAATGTATTGCTTCTCATCTAGCTGTGTAACTTGTGATATTGTGGTCTATTCAACACTCAGGGCCTAATTCTGCTCTCCCTGACGCTGGTGTAAATGAGGAATAACTCCACTGAAATAAACAGTGTGCAACTGGTATAAACGAAATCAGAATCAGGTCACAACATTCAGAAATCCCTCAATGTCATATATATATATATATAACATATATAACATAAATTCAAGAAAGTGAATTTCTGTTACACAATCGGGGAAATAGAAAAAAAATAAATGTTGTGTAATTTTATGTGAATTCTGTTCCAAGAAGTAAATCAGGAGGCAGTTACTGAAACTTGTATTTTAGGAGTAAACTATGATTAAAGTGTGTCTTAAACAATACAAGTATCAAAGGGGTAGCCGTGTTAGTCTGGATCTGTAAAAAGCAACAAAGAGTCCTGTGGCACTTTATAGACTAACAGACGTATTGGAGCATAAGCTTTCGTGGGTGAATACCCACTTCGTCAGACGCATGTGTCTGACGAAGTGAGTATTCACCCATGAAAGCTTATGCTCCAATACGTCTGTTAGTCTATAAGGTGCCACAGGATTCTTTGTTGCTTTAAACAATACAGTAATTGTAGAAACTACATGCAATATTAATAGGATCTTTAAAAGTTTTATGACATTAGATCTTCAAGTACTTTTCTTTTTCTTTACATTCAGTCAACACTTTTGGAAACACAAAACACACACGTATGCCTGTCTTGCAGTCACTTTCACTTACAATGTATCCAATTGTTTTTCTACAGTGGATCATTCTGTCCCCCCCTTTCCTTTCCTGTGTAGCTGGAAAATTCCACTAGTTATATCTTTGACAGCTTTCTCCCCGTCCCGTCATTCCTTGTTTAAACATTCAAAGATTGAAAAATTATCAATTTAGCACATTCTGTAAACCTTACCTTGGAGCCGAATAAAGTCTCACTGATGATATCCTTAAAGGAACAGAGCAAAATATATTTGAATCCAAGTTTCTTCATGCCTCCAGTTGCAGTAAATCCTTTCCCAGACTACAGTCACAAACATGCATAGCTATCTGAACACACTGTGATAGGATAAAGCTTTATGCCTCTAGTCATACAAGGACTAGCGAAACAAAGAGCAGTGGAGTTTCTGGTCCTTGTGAGAAACAGTCACACTACTCAGTAGCTATTTAAAGAGTTGATGCCTTCAGGATAAATGCTCATACTGTGTTTTCCTGTTTGTGTCAGAACTTAAATCTTTCATCCATTTCCTAAGAAGAGAAATAAAAGCACAATCTATTGCTAGTAGCTCTGTAATTCATGAGAGACACTGTAGTGTGAGTGAAATAGAAAGGCAGGGCTAATTTATTTGTTTTCCACTGAAAGGATGTAAGGCATTTCCCATTAATGTTATTTAAAAAAATCATAAATAAGTGCCCACATCTAACGTAATGAAAAGTTCTATCTGTATTGATATTGCAACCCCACCCAATCCAAAACTTCAGTACACAATGACATCTAGGAAAGAAAAGTGAGCCAAAACATGGATTACAGGAAAATCTAACATTTATGCGAAAGCCTTTCTGCTTCAGGAAAGTGTCCAAGAGAGCAGATCAGCTGAACACTTAGAAGACGATGAAGTTTTTAGAGAACATGCAACAGGGTTCACATTAAGAAAACAATAGAGCTGGGATTGTATGACAACATTTGCATCCAGATCCAAAACTTCTGAAGTTTGTGCATGATTGGATCCGGGTTTTGGCTTGGGTCCACCTCTAGAAAACACACCATGGAAACAATTCCTCACTGCAGTCTGTTAACTCACTGAAAGGAGATCTAATAAACAGCTTTCAAACAAGGTAAGTATTCCAAATGTTCTAACATATTTAAGAAAAACAGCTTTATTAGTCTAAAATTTCCTCTACCCTTTCCATCCCCACGTTGTAGGAGGAAGAGCTGAAACTCCGGTTACAGCTTCATGTGACATCTCAGTTCAGGGCCTCCAGAAACCTTGTTAAAGTCATCCAACAAAGTAAGGAAGAGAGAACCTGATATTTCTAATGTAAAAACCAACCCAACACCAGCAGAAAAAAAGAGAAAGAAATAGGAGGAAACAATCTCTGTGATGGCCATTATACATCTGCAGGGGCAGTAAAGGGGGGAAAAAAACAAATGGGATTTTGTTTTGCAATTCACCTTTAAGCTCGAATAGTTTTCTTCGAAATTTTTATACAGGAAATCAAAACTCTCAGTCTCATCTCACAAAATGTGGTCTTTATGTAGCCTTTTGATTTCATAAATCCTTTTGGATTTTAAAGATTACTGTCCATGGGATCAAGAATGCAGCTTGCTTGTCACTGTTTACAATTATGGACTTTAAATCATGCTTTAAAGGATGAGCTGCAGGGACCTGGATGGCTCAGGAGATCGGCAATGGGCTTTCAAGCTATGAATTCAGCTTGAGTTGGCAATGACTGAAATAATGTGGTGGTCTCAGTCCATACCCACCTAGACAGACACCCATATTACAATACCATCACCACAGGCACTAACTGAGAAGCTCAAGGCTGAAAGTCATGGAGACTGACCCACTCCCCCATCCTTAGAGGATCTCTCTCACCGGTTAAGTGGTGGGATAGAAGGACTGGAAAGCCAGCAATGCTGCCGCTTGTGCGGGGCCTGTTGTGTGGATAAATGATTAAATTAAAAAGGACACTGTCAGGTCATTTTAAACCTAGTTCTAGGTTTTTATTGACAATTTTTAACAAAATCAAATATTAGGAGAAATTTTTTCATGATGGTTTTTCAAAATTCAGTGAAAAAGTATTTGAAACATTAAAACATTCTCTACTAGTGTGCGTACAATAATCTAAAGGTGTTATTAGTAACAAAGTACGGTTCTAAGAATGTGGCCCATGCACTTTAACCTAATAAAAAGAACAGGAGTACTTGTGGCACCTTAGAGACTAACAAATTTATTAGAGCATAAGCTTTCG